GATCGTTAAAGTGAAAAATTAGATGTAGGAAAAACTATAAATGCTCCTTCTACATATATTTTAACAATTTTTATTGTGAAAAACTGCCAGAAATCTTCATATCGTCTTCTTTTTGGATAAAAATCCTTCAGCCCTTCAATCAACGAAATTTGACTGTAAAATCCTTCATATTGAAGGAAATCCTTCGATTCTGGCAACAAAGTGGCATTCTAGATTTGAACATGATTGAGTTTCTTCCATTCTAACTTAATTATTCTGTTGATTTCTTGTAGTAGAGATCCTGATATAATAAAAATAAAAAACCTATATTTGATTTATAAGAAATATCTTCATGTACGCCAATGTTACGAACACTGCTTCTCGCTGCAAGACCTTGTAACGTTTCCTTCGTGATTTTCTGCTAGCTTTTGGAGGCTGCCGAGGCTGCCTCCATATCCACCTGATCTATGCCCGCGTGTGCGACAGTTCCGAGGGATTTTCGCAATTATTTATCAATAATATCTCAAAGAAATATGATTAATTACCCTGAACAACTATATTTTATAAATTTCTTGTCAATGAAACTTTAGTAAACATTCGATTACATTTTCTAAATCAGATTCTTTAAATTAAATATTAAGTAGAAAAATGTTTTTATTATTTTTTCTCCTCTGTGTTATTTCGTCTGAATGGGACATCTGGGTTTTTCGCTGGTAGACCTTGAATCGGCTGTATTTATATGGGAAAAAATGTGTTACATAGTACCATAGCTCTTTGTTCCGTTTTATGGTTGACGTGAAATCGTGGAAATGCAAAACAGATTAAAGGAAAAATTAACGAGTACTACCTAGATACAATGCCGATATCAAAAACAGCTAAAAATGTATTTTTAATATAACTTGGTTTTAGTCTACATATTAAGTGGAATTATTGATATACTTTTCTAACTTTCTGTGTTTGTGTTTGATGTCTTCTTGGTTTATCTGCATATATGGTCGGCTTTACGACGAAAACTAAATATTTATTAATTCTAGTATTTAGCACAGGGCAATTTTTTAAATGAATATAAAATGAATAAGGTATAATATTGATTTATGATATCCTGAAATTGCCAAAAATCGATATAAGTCCTAGACTTTTTGAAAAGATATAGGAAGCAGCATTAAAAGCGATTAAAGTAAGTAGGCGTTCGTCTTTTTCTTCCTCATCATATTAAAGAAAGGAAAGTCTCATACCTCGGACATATCCTTAGAGGAGACAAATATTACATTCCTAAGCTGATTCTACAAGGAAAAATAGAGGGACGGCGAGGCCCAGGAAGAAAACAACATTTCTGGCTAAGAAACATACGGGATTGGTGTAACATCAGCGACGCAGCCACCATATTTCGAAGAGCCGAAAACGGCAGTCTACACATTGTATGAAGAGTACAGGCAATCGCCAACGTGCGGCTAAGCACAAGGCACAGGAAGAAGAAGAACGCTTTGGAGATCTCCCTCTATAGGACGTTTCCCATTCACTTTTCCCTCCACGATTAGTTTTTCTAGGCCATTAGTGTTCCTGGATATGTGGCCAAAGTATCTTAAGTTTGATTGATTGATTGATATCGACAGTCTAGATTCGATATTCAGTTGTTCGAGTATTGAAATGTTTGTACGGTATTCGCAGCATCCGCGTCTATAACACCACATTTCAAAAGCAACGATTTTTCGTTTCATTGCCAACTTCAATGTCCAGGTCTCTGAGGCATAAGTGGCAATGGGGAAAATAAGGGCTCCTAGTAGTCTGAGTTTGTTGCTAATTGAAATGGCTGAATCTTTCCATATTTTATTGAGTTTGGTCATGGAATTGCGTGCTATACACAGTCTTCTCTTGATTTCTGCGTCACATCCTCCTTTGTTTGATATCAAGGAGCCTGTACTGTCACTGCAATGGCATAAATCCGAAAATAGAAACAATAGAAGTTGGACGTAACAGTGCTATTTGTTGATATTCGATGAAAAATTAGAGAAAAAAGCGGAAAATATGAAGTGCCTTGCGCTCGGCTAGGCATAATGGATGGAATAACGTCGTTTTATAGGGCAGTAAAATCGGCGACATAAAACCGGCGCAGTTTCTCACGCGAATCGTTAAAGTCACGGAGGAGGAACGTTAGACAGCGCCGCGCTGCGGGAAAAATGCGCCGCAATAAAAAAATCATATAAATGTGCCTCTCCTCGGGGAAATGCCGTTAATAATTCAGGTGCCCGTAAAATTATTATCTTTAAAGGCATAAGCGGCAAAAAGAATGTCCAATAGTCCAATGGAAAGAGATTCTAATAATTCAACCTCTTTAAAATAAATAATAGTGATCAGTTGGTAGTATTGTTATGTTCTAGACAAAAAATAGTTATTTTTTATACAAGACTTGTATAAAACAATGTCAGTTTGGAGTAAATATTTTCTAATTCTCTTTCGTCTCGATTGCTGATTGAATTGGATCCAGAAATGGCTCAAAACGAAATAAGTAAATTACCAACAGATATTCAGGCTGAGGTGACAAACGCCATAATATCCAAACTACTTCCATTTAAATCCTGAATAACTTATGAAAAGGAATAGAAAAATTTTCAAAAATGGAAGCAATTAAAAAACGTGCGAGAAGAAATAAAGTTTTTAACCTATCCTCGCTGTTAAAGTATTTTTTTATCGACTATTTTTGATAGATACAAGGCAATTTTAAGAGTTGCTACGGAAAAAAAGTTAATTTTAAATACCCTATATATTTTTAGTACATTATGACGGAATGTTATCATTATGCAGATATTAAAATTCTGTCGGCAGCTCTTTGACCAAGAAATTATTAAAATATAGTCAATATCATCGAATTATTCTGATTAAATTTCATTAAATTAAAATCCCATAAAAATCAACAGGAAATAAATTATTGTATCTCTAAACTCCAACTGACAACAGCAAAGTTAATAATAATAACAACTTGAAATAGCCCGGCGCTCTCGCATATACCTAGTTAAAATCGTTTACGTCAATTAAAAAACCATCTCGAAACTGTCACCTGTCATCTGTCAAAGCGGCGACCGACAAGCTAGCGGATACAGTGGCGCCGCCACAGGCTAATAAATTCAGCTAGTTACTTTGCGATAATGCCTAATAGGAACGGGACTTCGTTATATATAAAATTATTCCGTTTTATTTATAGAGAGAGCAAAATAAATAAATAAAATTTATATAGGAATTCTTCGGCCAGGTGACTACGGCTTTCTTGTGCTCGTTTTATATGTATGTACGTATTATAGCAAAATATCGAAATTGAGAATTTATATGTCCGTACGCTGAACAGTTGCTGCTTCCGTTTTACTTTTGATGAAAGTTAAGGTGGGTCGTAGACGATAGGACCAGTTGGAAGGCAAGTCGGTGACTCAGACGGGTTATATATTTTTTTTCGACAAAAGTCAGTAAAATTTTGATTTTTACGCTCTCAGTGTAGAGCAAACTACATTTGTTTTCATTATTGGGTTTTAACTTTATTACAGTCAAGAGATGAGGAGGTGCGAGACTGATCTTGGTCTTGCGGTCTTGGTCTTGGTATTGGCTATAGGCCAAGATAGATCTATAGATCTGCAAGACTGATTACTGTTATGTATGGAAAAAATGTCCATTTTTTACTATTTTTTATTCATTTTCACAAGCCTTAGAAAAATAGTAAACACAGTTATAAAATTGTTAATATTTCAGTATTTGTAGGAAATTTTATGTAGACTCAGAATATATACATCTTTAAAGGATTAGAGACCTTGGTTTTGGGAGAAAATTAATTTTCTGAACCCTTGTTTTTGGTCTATTTTTTACTCATTTTCAAACGCCTTACAAAAATAGTAAACACAGTACTAAAATTATGAAAATATCAATATTTGTAGAAAATTTTATGCAGACTCAGAATATATGCACCTTTAAAGGATTAGATACCTCGGTTTTGTGAGAAAATTAATTTTCTGAACCCTTGTTTTTGGTCTATTTTGTACTCATTTTCAAACGCCTTACAAAAATAGTAAACACACTACTAAAATTATGAAAATATCAGTATTTGTAGCAAATTTTATGCAGACTCAGAATATATGCACCTTTAAAGGATTAGATATCTCGGTTTTGTGAGAAAATTAATTTTCTGAACCTTTGTTTTTGGTCTATTTTTACTCATTTTCAAAGACCATAGAAAAATAATAAACATAGTCCTAAAATTATGGAAATATCAGTATTTTGGTTCAGGAAATTTTATGTAGATTCAGAATATATACATCTTTAAAGGTTTAGATATCTTGATTTTGTGAGAAAATTAATTTTCTCAACCCTTGTTTTTGGTCTATTTTTTATTCATTTTCAAAGGCTTTAGAAAAATAAACATAGTCCTAAAATTATGAAAATATTATAATTTGTAGGAAATTTTATGTAGATTCAGAATATATTCACCGTTAAATGATTAGATACCTTGGTTTTGTGAGAAAATTTATTTTCTGAACCCTTGTTTTTGGTCCATTTTTTACTCATTTTCAAAGGCTTTAGAAAAATAGTAAACATAGTCCCAAAATTATGAAAATATCAATATTTGTAGGAAATTTTATGTAGATTCATAATATATACACCGTTAAAGGCTTAGATACCTTGGTTCTGTGAGAAAATTAATGTTCTGAACCCTTGTTTTTGGTCCATTTTTTACTCATTTTCAAAGGCTTTAGAAAAATAGTAAACATAGTCCCAAAATTATGAAAATATCAATATTTGTAGGAAATTTTATGTAGATTCATAATATATACACCGTTAAAGGCTTAGATACCTTGGTTCTGTGAGAAAATTAATGTTCTGAACCCTTGTTTTTGGTCGTTTTCCAAAGAGTTAATATTTTCCAAATCTCGTATAAAAATACTAAACAAAATTAGAAAATTTTAAAAAATTCAGTATTTATAAGATTTTTCTTTAATAACCTTCACATTTCCTAAAGTTTCGTTATTTTTGATCATTTTCAGGTGAAAATATGGTTCCAGAACCGACGGAGCAAGTACAAAAAAATGATGAAGGCAGCTCAGGTTACGGGGGGTCCCAACAACAACGGCAATGGGGCAGCTCACGCCGGATTATTGGGGGGCAACGGTACCATGGCCCCCTCAAGTCCCGGACAGCAGAGCCAGAATATGATGCAAGGTAGGATTAAATTGGAAGGTAAAATATACTTTCTCTGCTCTATATTTTGTAGTCTAAGACCCAATATTGCACCTTCCGGCAAAATTTGAGGTTAAAACTTTATTTAGAATCTCAAAATTAATGGTTTCAATTACCGTAGAAGTTTGTTCCTTTGATTTTAATGTAATCATTCAGAACTCAGAACGTTAAAAATATTGACTGTACTTTTCAATTAGTAGAAATAGTTAAAAAACTTTTAAATTTTACCACTAATTATAATTGAAGCTATTGCGCATGTATCATCACCTGTCAAAAGAGAGAACCATTCCAATTTTATCAATGACTAAAGAATGTAATGACATGTAACGCCCATATACCGGCTGCAGCAGAATTTGTGACCTTAGAGGTCATTCTTTTGATGGCAAACAATGAGTCATCATTTGGTCACCAGCGACAATTTTAGAGATTTAATAGTTTGTGTGTAGTGAACTAAATTTATGGCTGTTAGCAGAAACAATATTCCGAACACCAGAATTTACTTAAATGGAGAGGTCATCAAGCAGGTCACACAATTTAAATATTAATACGAAACGTGGGATCCAGATTAGGAGATCAAATGCAGGATCGAACAAGCAAGATCTACTTTTCTGAGAGAGACTGCGAAGATTTCTCACAGATAGGAACTTGAATTTCGGCTTTAGATACAGAATGGTGAAGTGCTATGTCTGGTCCGTTTTGTTATATGGTGTGGAAGCATGGACACTGAAGGTAGCAACAATAAACCGAATTGAAGCCTTCGAAATGTGGACCCTACGACGAATGCTAAGAGTACCCTGGGTCGACCGTGTGAGGAATGAAGACATTCTCAGAAGAGCTGGTCTGGAACAACGTGAACTCTTCGAAATCATCAAGAAGAGGAAAATAGCCTATTTGGGATACATACTACGTGGAGAACGCTATCACTTTCAGCGTCTGATTCTCCAGGGTAAAATAGAGGGGGGCAAAAGGGGAATAAGCCGAAGGTAGCTATCCTGGCTGAGAAATATTCGTCATTGTACAGACACTCCAAGTCGCTGCAGTTAATAGAACAATCTGATGAGGAAGAAAAAGATGAACGCCTACGCAGGAATCTGCACGGCACTTTAAGAAGTGTAGTGAACTTTGCATAAACTTTATTACAATGCTGATTAGTTGTTCAGCTTTAAGAAAGCAGCAGCGATAAGAAAGAGCCAGGAGTTACCACTCCAACTTTTTAGCGTTTTCTTATCGAATTCGATAATTATTTTTCTGATATTATATGTACTTGATGTGTCCTATACGTCGATACTAGTTTTGTACCTTTTGTTAACATTTTGTTACATCACCGTATACACCATAGGCGTAGTCAAAACATTTATCAAAAAATACACTTGCGTGCATAGAAATCGGCCCAAGGCAAACTTTTGAAGTTAACTATACATTTTTTAGAATCTATTTGTCAGATTAAGGAAAAATACATGCTGTTTGAAAGACAATTTCATATTCTTTGAAAAGAGTTTAGAGATATTAATTTGTATTTTCGTTTCTTTGGATTAAAATTACGCATGAATCAAATTATCGTTTTTTATTACTAAGAGGTATGTTATTATTTGTTTATTTATTTATGGACAATTAATTAAACTAAATTTTCAATAATCACACGCTCTTCGAACCGCTCCGCGTGTCATATGTAGTTGCCGAGCTACAGCTCTCTGTTGAAGTCCATTTTCGATTAAACCGATTACTTGGGCGGCTTTTCCGGTGATGTATGCATTAAAAGTGAAACACTAATCAAATAATGAAACACAACTAATCAAAGAATAAAAGAACAATGTGAAAATTTCGATTACAAAGGTAATAATTGCAATATTTGACAAGTTTATTATTCTTATTGTCACCACAACCCAAATACCTTTTTTTACCTTTTTTTTGTTTACCCATTGGTACGAATATAAACGTTAAGTACCCTGGGTAAATTTATGCCCATATTAAAGCATGTTAAATTGTCTTTGAAACAGCTCATATTTTTTACTTGTTCTGATAAATAGATTCTAGAAGACACAGTTAAAACCAAAAGTTCACAGTGGGCCGATTTCTATGCACGTAAGTTTATAAATATGTCTTCAAACAGCTAGGTTAAGAAAAATATGTGCTACGACACTGTTTGGGGACATCGTCACAATTTGTTCTCGGGTGTTATTTGTCCTTGGATTCTTTAGTCATTGAATTTTACCAATTTCAACCATTTTAGGTAGTACACATTGGTCGGATATTTCTTCTTTAGATAAAGTGGCATTCTATATTTGAATGTGATTGAGTACTATATAGTAACTTAATTACTTTATTATTCTGTTGATTCCTGGCATTCCTATGTCTTTCATTCTATTGTTATTCCGAATTTCTAGGTTTTACACACTGTATAATATAAATTAACCAGTCCAAAGCCTGTTTAGAATATTTATTTCAGTAAATTATCAAAGGTTATACGGAATATTTATTTCAATAAACCGAATAATAATAATTTAGTCAGATATAACGCGTACAAGTGACAAATCAAAATATGTCAAGGAATGATTGTAAAATTCAAGATAATACAACTACAACAATATAAAAAAGCAGATATCGGCAACCCGTTCAAACTTCACAAGAGCTAAAGTACTTATTACTTACCAAAGATTAGTAATTGAATTCCATTTACATATAATTTCCATTAACAAGTACATTACTACAGTAGACGTAACTTTTTTATTATTTACTTTGTACAAAGTAGTTGCTTGTTCGCGTAGAACTAAGTCTATTACGTATGTGGTACTATTACCTTATATTTAGTAGTGAAAAAATAAGTTTAATATACAGAAAAAAACCAAAATGTTACCTATAACTTAATATATTTCACCTCTAGGAACAAGCGAGCTTACTCTTGATCCAAGCAGGGTTGGGTACGTAGAAAATTTTAGATTTTCTACCGTATTTTCTACACCAAGTACTTTTTCACATGTCAAGACGTAGAAAATTAGTTTTATATATTGTAAGCCTTTTTTTGAGTTTATATTTATTTTAAATACTTTAATCACAATGATTAGTACAAGAAATAAACTAATAACGATATATCTAATTGTTATTTATTATTTCTTAACAAATGGTTAGTATACAGGGTGGTTTGAACTGTATTCCCGAAACTTCGGCAGCATATTCTGCAGATAAAAATAAGTAAAAAAGGTCGTATAAATGTATGTCCTAAACTGCTTAGTTTCGGAAATACAGGGCGTAGAAATGTCTTTTTTATTTCGATTTTTTCCTAATAATTTATGAAATAACGTCAATATTTGGATGAAAATTGGTGCTTGGGAGTTTTTTGATATGAGATATTTGATGCAATGTGACTCCAGCTTGTAGAGGGCGCCACCTACATATTTTTTAACTGGTTTAAAGAGTATAAAACTACCGAGTAAAAAAATATATATTCACGTAGTTTTTTTACATAGAAAATATCTCTTGGTAAAAATCGCTGCGAGTAATGGTTCTCGAGATATTAGGAATCGAAGTTATCAATACCTGTCATCATTGACATAAATTAAACACGTTGACTAAATAGTTATTAGACTGAAATCATAAATTTGAAATGTTTTTGTGCCAAAAATTCAACAGTACTCTGTTTTATCACCATTTTTTTACAGAAAAATTTACGATTAATTTAAGAAAATAAAAATTTCTTAAATTTATTATTTCAGTCAAATAACTATCTACTCAACGCGTTTATTTTTGGTCAATAATGGCATGTATTGACTGTTTCGATTCTAAATATCTCGAGAACGGTTGCTCGTAGCCATTTTTACCAAGATATATTTTTTACGTAAAAAAACACGGAAATGTATATTTTTTTACCCAATAGTTTTATACAGGTACGGACAAAAAGTTATTACTCTTCAAAACAGTTAAAACACATGTAGGTGGCGCCCTCTGCAAATAGGAGTCATATTGACATGAAAATCAAATTTCTCATACCAAAAAACTCCCAGACACCACCATTTTCATCTAAATATTGACGTTACTTCAGAAATTATTTGGAAAAAATCAAAATAAAAATGAAATTTCTACACCCTGTATCTCCGAAATTAGGCATTTTCGGACCTACATTTAAACGAACTTTTTTACTTATAATATGCTGCCGAAGTTTCCGGAATACAGTTTGGACCCCCCTGTATAGTCTAATCTGCCATTTTATACCTCAAAAAATCATAATTTCCACTCAAAAACCCTTTTTTTCTTCTTGTTACAGGCGGCGGCGGTTCGTCGAGCGGCTCCCCCGCTACAGGGGGCTACATGCAGCACCCTAGTCCCGCACCCAGCTCCACACCCGGCTCGGACGTGTCCGGCCAGCCGGGAGCCCCCAGTCCGGGTGCCTGGGGGGACGTCAAGCCTCAGCAACAGCAAGGAGGAGGCGGAGGAGTGCAGGGAGGCCAGGCGCTGCACGCGCATCCCCCTCCGCATCCTGCCGCGGCGCATCCGGCGGCGCATCATCCCCCCCATCCGCACAACTACCTCCCGCAGTACAGCTGGTATCCTACGGATAATCCTGGACTATTAACGTGAGTAGAGAATTTCGATATTTTTTATTGTTAAACATGTATTTGTATTAAAACGGGTTTTTAAGGCATTTACGAGGGTTGTCCTGTTATATTCTGCATATATAGAGATAAAAAAAACAGTAGATAACTCCCCGAAGAGAAATGTATTTTGCATCTGTTGGAACCAATTCTGAAAGCAGTTATTCCAGTCGCTTGTTGGTACCTTCAAAATTGTCATATATTGCGTTTTTGAAGGCACTGCCTGCATCTTCCATAGGAACTGAAACCTTTGACCACGCAATTCATTATTCTTAATAAAAACAAAACTCGTTGGGACTGTATGGAGAATAGTCCAACAATTTGATGTCTTCTTGCTTTAAAAACTCAATTGATTTCGAGCTGTGTGGGAAATTGCATTGTCTTGGTGGAGATTCATTTGTCGTTGAGAACGTCCATCGGATGAGTAAATCCAGGATTTATTTCACATCAAATTCGTGTTTTAAGACAGTATACTTTGAAGAGGTGTTTATTAAAGCTTGTTCTAGACTTGTAGAGGTAATTTCCGCAATTAGGAGTCGCTTAAACACACAAATCACTGAAGAAGCTGTTGCACCAAGTTTTGTAAAATTGTTTCTATTACTTTTCTTCGAGGCATTTTTATTCTACTATGTTTATCTAATGTTAATTATCAATAAACACATGTCGCTTTTTGATAAAAGTGGTTTTTATTGAGTTTTATCCCAAATTTTCTTTATAATACACAAAGGTGATGCACCAGGTCTTGTAAAATTGTTTCTGTTAATTTTCTTCGGGATATTTTTGTTCTAATTTGTTTATCTGATCTTAATTATCAAAAAAGACACGTCGTCTTTTGCTAAAAGTGGTTTTTATTGAGTTTTATCTCTAATTTTCGAAGTTGATGCACCATATCTTGTCAAATAATCACATTCATCAGCAGCTTCTAAAATAAAGGGGACGCCACTGTCTTTGGAGACGAACGTCTCTGCCTTTAATCGACCACTTCCGGATTCTTCGATTTAATTGGCTTCGTTACAATTACTATTAGTAAATTGCTTCGAAGGGCATTTCCTTCGGTTTGATTATTTCATTGTTGAAAATACAGGCGAGTATTTTTTTTAATTTAATTATTTAAGATAACCAGCAAAGCAGAGGGTGTTCAAAGTTATTAAATATGCGAAAAAATGCAAAAATATATTTTTTATTAGTTTAGAATAAAAAAATTCATGATTTAGGTACTTTATCAGTAGATATATATTATTTCGTATATTTTTCATTTTATTGATTTTATGGAAAAGCACTGTTCATTGAAAATATTTGTATCCTATGTTATAGGGCTGTTTCTCTCTACAATTCAATGTACCGTTTGTGTGTCCAGGAAGGGTTCATAGTTGCATAGTTGTCGATTTTTTATTAAAGTCGTTTAAAAAATAAATTTGGTGCACGAAATAAAAAGAAATGAACATCGCCGATACTTTTGTTTGTGTATTTTTAAATTTCTATCACACGAAATTTGCATAGAAAATGCTTAGACCACAATTGTTACCTATATGACACACAACGAACTCAGTGTCATTAATGCTCACTGGTCGAATATTCAACTGCTTAACTTTTAACTTTTCGCGCCAGTTCGGCCAACGTATATGGTTGATTAAATGACCAAAGCACGCATAGAAATAAGCATAGCAAACAAACTGGGCGATAATACGCTTCCACGCGATTGATTAGTTGGTTAAGTTACAGTGGTCGATTTAGCGACCATCAACCTATAAAAGGTTAATAACTTCAAAAATTGGGACGCCACTGTTCCTTAGCCGTCCTTACTCTCTTCATTTAATAATTTATTTTTACAAAATTCAACGTTAAAAATTTCCAAAAAAAATCAGAACAAGAGACTAGTTTCCTCTCATCATATCTAGCCAGTGGCGTGCTGCAGATCACCGATACGAACCAGGGGCGGAGGCGCGTTTCTTCCTTTAATTAAATAACGGGTAATTATTGCTCCGGGTTCGTCCCGCAGCGTCACACGTCCACGTCGAGATCGGCCACGCTAATTGCTAGGTTGCCACGAGAAGTTGTTTGAACAAAGTCAGAAGAAGAAAGAAGTGAAGAGGAAACGGTCACATAGGGAAGCGCGAGGGTTTTGCGAGACACCGGGTAGATGACCTAGCTATATACAATTAAAATACCAGCAAAAAAATGTGATTGTGTCATTGTCAATTCGATGTCACACTTTGATTACAAAAAATTGAAGGTATCAAACAGAGTAAGGCTGTATTCCGTTGCAAAACCAGGCAAGCCAGACCGGTAAACTACGGTAAAGATGGGTAAAGAGCGGTTCCTGAACAACATCGGTTTGATACAGGGCGGTTTGGTAAAATACGGAAACGTGAAAAAATGTTGACGTTTTCTAAATTTCAATACCTTTATTATAAAATTTATCTTTATACATTTTTAATGTACCTATTCTCTTCTTTTACGTTTGCTTCTTCTTTTTCAATGGAGTTTAATATTGAAAATTACTTTATTAATAAACTGCTAAACTCGTTAGACAGCTCAAGTGAAGATTTGGAGATCCGATATTAAAACAGATCAATAATAAATAAACAAATCTAATCAATATTTATCTTTTATAGCTCACAAAACATTCACGATTACTTGTTATCTTGTTTTTCATGTTTTCTTTAAATGTTCTTGACTTTAAGAAACAATGGCTGCATGATAAGTTTAAACGGTTCTAAAAAGTAATTCTATTTAGTTAATGAAATTTATTTGCCTTAACTGCCTACACTCCATTGCTGGATACAAAATATTATTACAAATTTTAGAAATTAAATAGAGAATTTCGGGCTTCCAATATTTGCTCGATTTCTGTCATATAAATGACATTGATTGACAAACAAAACCAGAAAAACCAGCCTTCCCGCGCTGGTTAGTTTAGTGACAGTTATAACCGAATTTTCAGGAACCGTGTTCCGTAATAAGAAAACTTTCAGGCAACCGATAGGTACGAAACTGAATACACCCTAAAATAATTATGAATTTCACAAGAGTTGATTTTTTGTCATACTTTTTTTTGTACATTCTACTGTAGTATGATAGGTAACGATTTTCGTTGCGTGCTCATAACTGTCAGTCATGTCAAATGTCAAATACACGGGAAGTACGAAACCTATAAAATATCCGTCACGGCGAAATCGTGAACAGTGCAGACCTTAGCAACGAGATACCGTTAAATCTGCGCGAGAATTTACATAAATTATGGAAAATAATTATGAGCACAAAGTTTACAAGCAGAACATTAAGTGTAGCATTATATTTTCAGCACGTAAATTGCCCTCTGTACAGGGTGGTCGAATTCACGACGCTTTTAAATGGATACACCCTTTTTCTATAGGAGATAGACAAAAACTAATATCGGTGTCTGGAGCTCAATTTTTGTCAAAACATGATGAAATTATTTACATTCTTGAAAACTACTCCGTATCTTTAAGATACAAATAAGTGGTCCAAACTGTATTCAGGAAGCTTCAGCATATTCTACAAGAAAAAATAAGTAAAAAAGTTTGTAAAATTTGTATGTCCTAAAATGCGGAGTTTCGGATGTGGGGTGTAGAGGTTTCATTTTTATTTCGATTTTTCAAATAATTTATGAATTAACGTCAATATTTGGTCAAAAAACTCCCAGACACCAATTCTCATCCAAACATTGGCGTTACTTCAGATTTTATTTGGAAAGAATCGAAATAAAATTAATATTCACCCTGTATCTCCGTAACTAACTATTTTTAGGACATACGTTTACACGAACTTGTTTACTTATTTTATCTGCACACACTTCGGACCACCCTGTATATTATCTACTACATTAGTTAAAAATATCAATGATGTGGAGAATTTAAAAATAAATATATTTTCTTGTTTCAGGGTATGGCCAGCCGTTTAATACATGCCCCCCCACCCCCCTGTTAGTTCCCTAAATTACAGAAGAATAAAAAACTCAGAAGAAAAGAAAAAAAAAACATGGGAAATAAGAAGAAAAGATCAAGGAAAAAAGACTAAAACCAGTGACCAGTGATCGTGTACATGTTATTTGTTGTATATTCGTTGTTGATTTTTTCTATCGTATTTTAACACTTTTCGTTCCCTTGTCGAACTGTGGTGCGTACGCCTATGGACTATACATTTTTACGTGACCGCGGTTCGAGGAAAATCAGGTTGTGACGCCACTGGAATGAGTGAAATACAGTGGCGTTGGTGTTAATATGTTCCCTGTATGTTTGCTCTCTCGAATGATATCGCTAGTAATCACACAAAACTTTAAAAAAATCAAAGTATTTGTTGAATAATGAATATAATGTGACTATTTTCAATATTTTTATGTTTAAACAAATTTTATTGCTGTTTTTTAAGTGTTTTAGTAGCGAAATTTAAAGAATGTTGCAAACTACAGTGGCGTAACTATATAAATATTGTGTTTTAATAGGCGTTTTAAATGTAGATACGTAATAGTTTTACTTCAAATTGTTTTTTTGGTGCAATATGTGTATATTTGTTAGGTGCATTTTTGACATTCCTTTTTTATATGACGTTTTGAATCAAAACAGTAAAAAAAAATCAAACACATTTTTTTTTTTTAAAAAAAAGATTTTTCAACAAACAATAAAAATAAAATTAAAAGCCAATTTTTAAATACACAAAGTTATACTGATATTAATTTATTTAAAACAAAATTAATATTTAATTAGTTCACAAAAACAATTTTTGAAACAAACGTCACATTTTTGAAATTAAAATCAAAACAATTTTTTTTTTTTTTTTATTTTATATTTCTTGAGAAATTCAAGCCACGTAATACTAACAACAAGTAGAAAATGTATACTTTAATATATCTTATACAGGGTATATCAAAAGAAAATCAAATTTTATTATTAATATAAAAAAAACAAAAAATTATTATATTTCTTAAACATAAAAAAAAACAATATATTTATTTTCATTAAATTATAATATTATTTATTTTCTTTTAGTAAACCTTACTATAAAGAGTATATTTTAGTAACAATTATTTATACGAGGACTGCTCAAAAAATATGCCCATTTTAAATCATTCCAAGACAATTTATTTTTTGAACAGTCCTCGTAAAAAATGAGTTCCGTTATTTTTTATTTTCAAAATATTTTGTTTATTAAAGTAGATACATTGAAAGAAAGAAAAGATATACAGAATTGGTCTTCATATATTTTAAAAACAAATATACTGCATTGGTCAAAAGTGTAGATATAGTAAACAATAATTCTCAGATATTTTTTTTCTGTTGGAGTTTAGTTAAAATACTGTATGATCGAAAAAAAACGATTTTTTTTAAATCTTTATAAAATTATATGCAACACGAAAATTAAAAATATCAATTTTAAACTACACTACAATATAAAAATAAGTACAACCTTTTTAAGCGCCATTAAAAAAAAGAAAGAAAAGAAGAGTACGGGCCAAGTAAAAAACGTCTAGGGCTTGACCCGCCAAAATTATCATCGATTGTTATTTCGCAGCTGTCTCTAACGCTGTTTTTTCGATCATATGGTATTTACGGAAATCTAACCTGGTAATTGGTATATACTGTTCAGGAAATCCAATTTTAGAAAAAATATACAGGTGTGTAATAAAAATTAAAAAACCAGCAAATATTTATTCTAATTTCTATGACTACCTTGTATATCTATTCGTTCCCTGTAAATTACTACAGTAGACTCGTGGTAAAGGAGTTTATAAATAATTTTTGTAAAATAAAAATAAAATAAATGAACCATAGTGATTCCTCTTGTAATATATTAATTATAAATAATGAAGAAAAAATTTGGAAAAAATAACCGTGCGAGTGAATGTGACAGACGGATCATGTACCTTATGTAAAGTAGATTTAAGGATGAAAATTGGGCGTCTTATCTGTCTGGCGGTTTGGCAAAAAGCAGGAAAACGAGATTTATAAATAATAGTAAGAAAAAAATTGACGAAGGAGATGTTTCTAAATGTGTAAAATATATGAAATAACAAACTTTGATTTTTTGTGTTTTATTTATGTTTCCAAAATCCTATCAGTTTGAAAATACATTTAATAGTCCAAGAAAAAGATCTAAAACGAAAAGATTTTTTAAATTCATCCCCCGAGAAGGGGAGAAATAAACAAAATAGGTATTTTTCGAAATTTCGGAGAAACGGTATGGGCTAGAAAAAAGTTCAAATAAAATTTGTAGAGCATCCAATTCTACATAAAAATGATCTCTATACTTTTTGGCTCAGATCAAAATTAACCGAGATATGTTGGCTAGAAGCTAGGGGATGATAGAAATTTAAAAAAATTTAAGTTGCTAAAAAAATTCATACATTTAACAATTTTATTCAATTTGCTTGAAAATTATAAATTCCAATTAAGATTTTTTTAATTCACCCCGAGAAGGGGTGGAAAATATAAATAAAGTGTTTTTCTTTAATTTCGGAGAAAACAGTAAGGACTTTGAAAAAAAAAAAATTGTCAATAAAAACTATCATCCTACATTCTAGTCACTCTGCTCAGTTAATTTTGATTTGAGAAAAAAAAAGTATAAAGCCATTTTTTTATGTAAAAAAAAAAAAAAAAAACTTTATTTGAACTCTTTTATAGTTCTTACCGTTTCTCAGAAATTTTGAAAAATTATTTTAACCATAGTAACTTATGTTAGGACACCCTGTTTATCGCAAACTTTTTGTCTTACATGGTATATATAATACTACAAACCCATACTGGGTACAATAAAACTTTATTTTCACACATTACCTTTAGCAAAGTATCAAATCAACGTAACACTACAATGTTGGGATAGAAAAGAATTCCAAAACATCGATATTACTTACCAATTCGTTGCAATTAATAGTCTTAAATATACTCTTAATAGTACTAATAGGTCGTTCGCCATATTGCCTATAAACAACCATAAAACCAGTGACGGGTTTATGGCTTTTCTGGGTCCATAAAGTGTAACTTCGCAGGAAATTGTTAAAGGCATTGTAACAATCTCGCAATAGGCTATATAATCACTGGTGGCTATAGTTAATAGGCCAATTTTTTCTACAGGGCGTCCCAGATGTATACAGGGTGTTCGGAAAATATCAGAGTTGGGCTACGTCGAGAATAACACGTCGTCAATGTCTAAATTTGGTACAAAAGTTATAGGTATAGTTAAAGTAACACGTTAGGTATATGATTAAAACTTAAACCCATATAATAAGCATTATATAAAAACAGACAATAAATTTGTAAATTTTGCAAAATTTGTCAAATCCTGGAAGATAAACCAAGTACCAGAGAGTACTGGACACCTAACCTTAACACTCCAGAAAAAGGTTTTAAGTAAGATCAAGAACCCGAGACCTACATGAACAGAAATGAAAATAAAACTCAAAGACTACTGGAAACTGAAGTTTGTCATCAATACATTAATTAAATTTTTCAAACTGCGACATTAAAAAAATTAAGCGACTCAAAATTTATTATTAAAAAAATAAAAGTGTCATTGTTAGTTAGGTAATATTATTCTGTGAATTACTGTAAAAACTTTTAATAAACATTTAAATAAAATTTCAATTCGATTGTAAAAAAATGCTGTGTGCAACATGTACAAAGAGCATATTTGTTGCACTCCGCATGATAGCGTTAAACTCATGCAACAATAAATATGTCCTTTTTTTATTAGTTACACAAATAACTATTAGTATTCACACTTTGGAGAGTAAAATATACGTGGATCAACATTTTTGAATGTTCCAATGACAGTCTAGAAGTGAGTGTATCCCCAGTTTGCGAATAATCATTAAAATGAAGTAATAAAAGCATTTAACTCTTTTTTGCAAAATTTTGCAAATATTTACCTCTAATAAAAAAAATGTAATTTAATATCCCTCCCAGAAAAAATTACCGATGTCAAAATGTTGTAAAAAAATAAAATTGTCACAAAAAGATTAACATAGTACTTTTACTTAGCTTAAACCATACACTAACGAGAACAGTAATTGTTCCTATCTAGACATTTTAGCCTTCATCAAAAATAGCTAAAACAACCGCTTCCTAAAAATTAATTTCCTCACTAAGCGAATGTAACTAAGCTTCAAGACGTTTATATATTCTGAATCTACATAAATTTCCTACAAATGATCAAATTTTCTCAATTTTTCTGGCTATGTTTACTATGTTTCTGAGGCCTTTGAAAATGTGTAAAACAATAGCTAACAATGGGCATTTTTTCGACTTTTTTTCCATACATATCATGAAAATTGGCGATTTTATTAAAACTGCTGTTATTTACTAATTAAAAGGTAAAGAATAATAAACTATAGGCCATTGTAGTCTTACGTGAACAGTAATAGATGTAAGGGATGTTTTAACCATCATCAAATACACCAAAAATAACGGTTCAGGAAATTAATTTTTTCACAAAACCAAACTGTCTAGTCCTTTAAAGGTGTATATATACATAAAATTTACTACAAATACTGATATTTTCAAAATTTTAGGACCACGTTTACAATCTTGTAGTCTTACAAGAACCAGAGGCTCTGTAAAAACTGTTGAAATCTCAGAAACTTCAAAAATACAGCTGAAAATCTAAAAAACAGCATGGGAATAAGTAGATCAATTTTCATTTTCTCTAAAAAAAAAAAATTTTGGTGCTTTCATTTTCTCCATTTAAAAGGAAACCATATTGGCGCCATTGCCGCAAAACTCGGTGGAGTGAACAACACGCAAAAGGAGAAACGTCACGATCCAGGCAGGGGTGGAGAATCAGGGAAAACGGTATAGTCAGGGGTGTAGAAGGAAGGGAGGGGTGGTAGCAAATTATAGGGCCTTTTCTGGTGCTGGGAGAAGCGCTCGCTTTAGCAGAAGAACTCGACAACGAACTTGTGACTGGAATATGAAAAATCATTATTGAGGGGGAGTAGGAAAGATAAAGACACAGA